ACTTCAAGACAATGGCCTCCTACATCCAGGACATGGTTAAACCATACAACCCAGCACGTGCACTCCGCTCTGCATCAGCCAAACAGCTCGCTGCACCCGCACTGCGAGGGGGACCCAAGTTCCCATCAGCAAAAACAACGTGGGTTTGTCTATCCTGGCTCCAAAATGGTGGAATGAGCTCCCCATTGAAATCAGGACAGCAGAAAGCTTACACATCTTCCGGCGCAGACTGAAAACTCATCTCTTTCGACTCCACTTCGAGAGATTGAATTACTAACAAAGCACTTATATACTAATAAAGGACTGGCTTATCTAAAGCCAGTTGAGCAGCACTTGAAATGTTTTGGCTCTATGAAACCTGATGTACTTATATGATTCTGTTTTCTTCAAGTTTGTATCTTCTTGGTCGAATGCACTTATTGTAAGTAGCTTTGGATAAAAGCGTCAGCTAAATGAAATGTAATGTAATGTGTAAAATGATACGCCATTTAAACTGATTAACTGAGTGTCTTGAGTCTCTGTACCTGCTGCAATGGCCCCTACCAGAGGCACCAGACACGTTTCCACAGGGCTGCACCAGGTCCCCACGATAAACACAACCCCCAGCGGCTCACTGACCATCAGACACTCGTCTAACGTCGTGGACTACACCAATCAGAGGAGCTCAAAATTAGGTTACAGGTGAAACCGAACTCTTGTGAAAAAGACATTAGCCCACTTAACTCTTGTGAAAATGTCAAGGCAGCTTAAGTTTTAATCTGCTTTGGTGGCCACAGAAGAACAGAACAATCATTTCTTTGTAGAAGTGAGACAAAATGTTCTCTCCAAAATGGTTGTGTAAATCATTCATAATCCCAATATTTGGAAGACATATTGGAAAAAAAGAGGGCAATAGTCTCACCAGGTTTCTTTCCACATGCTGCGGCTGCATCCACTTCTTAAGGTTGTTGATGGCATACAGGGCCTCATTCTTGACGAGAATAAGTTCTGACACAACTGCCTCAAACCTTGGCTGGTTGAAAAATAAAGTAATCACTAATTGGACCGTTATGTCAATTTGCATCGTCATAGTCTGATGTTTTAAGAAAGCATATTCACTTTAGTTGACTTATTCACCGCTCACCTTATTAAGGTCTTTTCCAAGAGCATCCACAAAGTCACTCTCGTGTTCCTCCAGCATCCGCACCACGGCCTCCAGCTGTGCCACTCTGAAGCTCTCTTTGAGGGTGTGTCCAGCTTGAAAGGTGACTCTCGCCCTTCTCAGGAGACCCTCACATTCTAGAGGGTATGTCTTCAAACAGGGCTCCCCCTGCCTGGTCCTGAAACAGCAGCCAAGCAACTCATTTGTATCACCACAGGGCAATAAAATACATCTTCAATCCATTATTACCATACCTTCTGCATGTTAACCGGCCATTCCTTTGACACGAATAGCACACCCTTGTTTTTCCACTCATGTTTATTCCAATCAAGAGTTCTCCACTGCTGGACCTTTGTTCTGAATAGAGTGAGTGTGCAGTTAAGCCAATGCACATGTTATGTAAAAGCCCCAGTGGTAGGGAGAAATAGTGGAAATCCTAACAAGTTCAATCTGGTACCACAGTAGAGTATATAACACCCCAGCCCTCTCTCTTAACTACAGGGATTTACTTGGGGATCATGAACAATTAAAATTGTAATGCCACAAAACCAATGTGTTTGCCAACTTGAAAATATACTGGTGAAAATGCTGCTTAAAGCATTTTAATGAATCTCTCTTATGAGGCACACCTTCTTTTTATTGCTGACATGTTTTTTGTGTGTATTGATTTGACATAATATATTTTATCATTTCACTTTTAGTAATTGTATTTTGTGTCTTCTATTTTATTTATATTTGTTGCTGTTTTTTATTGAAAGGTCTTGATTTGTTGTACTAGATTCCATGTCATGTTACCCAGTGACTAAGCAGTATGACACGTCTGTTTGATTTGTCACGAAAAATAATTGAATATAATAATTGAATATATATATTATGTTATTAATATTATAATTTAATAATAATTTGTTTTAGCATTATATGGGGAATTTAGCACTAACAATAACAATGTTTTTTCTGTCATTCAAATAGTAGTTTATTGATGGTCCCTTAAGTCCTGTGGTTAAGAGAGATGATAGAAAGTAAGTGAAGCATCCGAGTGAGTGTTTGCTAATTTCCAACCTGAAACTAACTTCACCCTCAATCAGGTGATGCACAAAGCCCATCCACTGGCTCTATACGTTACCTTCGCAGCTCTTTGAACCATCGGTGGGGAGAGGGGCTCTGCGGACTGCTCATGACTTCCCTGCAGGTTCAGGTGGAGCTTAGAGGAAATACTTCTAACAGCAGCAGCAGTATGAGTCAGACATGCGCATAACTCGCCATGTATCCTATTATAGGAAACAAGAACATTTTGTCTTTGGGAAACGCTCAACACTACAGCCTCCTGTCAATCACCAGCATGTCAACAACGGCTTCTGTCCCGTGCGCAGATTGTCCCGCCCTCAGCAGGTATTTCCAATTAACCAATTAATGACATGTAAACTTTGTCGGCCAATGCTTCGATGGGGAAAAGACACTCATTGTATTGTAAGGATTTTAAAGAGAATGATTTATATAATAGCAGTGTACAATATGTAACATTACAGGGAAATAATGTATATAACAAATGGACATTTTACATGGGAATCTCCGTTTTTAAACACACTCAATACTGTACTGGAGCCAGTCTTAAAAACACTTTAAGAAGAGATGAACACTTTCACAGGGAGGGCGGGGACTTTTCAAGGATAATTTTATTATTTTAGTAAAAGAGCAGTTAGTCAAAGGTCAGCATCAGCAGTCCACTGGTACATTTAAAGTATAACCTACTCTTGACATCATTTTAAAACAGATGAGCGACCTCATCACGAGACAGACAAGCTTTTGAGGTATCTTTCATCTCTCCTGCACACGCTCAAGTTTAGCATGTTGTGTGAACCCATTTGCAGTGTTTCCACTTATCGCCAGAACAGATTAAAAGGAGAAAAGCTGGAGCAAGATCCTCCTGACTGATTTTCCAGATCTACAATAGTAAATCTCATTGGACTGCAGGTAAGTTCAGTCCAACCAGTGTTATATATAATTATTTGTATCACTTCTTTTTTAATTTTCACACAAGGTTGGCCATGATAGTTAGAAACATGACCTTTATACTCTAAAGCTTGTGTTACTTATTAACAAGTATCAATACTCCTTCAGGACACATAACACCTTTTGCATAATAAAGAACTTGGTTAAGATTAGATTTATTTTCTTCTTTTTTTCACACTTTCTTTGAATTTTCTGGTAAATTACTAATGATCTATTTGAACCCTGTGTTAAGTCATATTTAGGCTGATAAGGTCCCAGGTGTGAAACAATCCGAGAGAACACCAAAATCGAGCAGTCACATTTTGGTTATCAAACCGGTCCATGACATCATGTTGAGAGGTTTTTACACCCCCGACTCTTTTTCCACATGGCTCAAGAAGATCAGAGGACATTGCAGTGAAACCCTCCTTGGTTGATGTTGTTGTTGTTGTTGTTGTTGTTCTTGTAGCAGTGGTTGTAGAGTAGTTTGTTTTTTTCCACTTTTTTGTTAGTAGTAGCAGAGAATAAGTCCAGGTATATAGCCCCCATTTTTGTATGGCTTGTTTCCGATATATGTGGTAATTGGTTAAAATAAGAGAGCAATGGGGATGACGTTATATGAGGCACTCAGCGTTACTAAAAGGTGTAGTGAGATTTCAGTTTTACTATTATTAAGACTTACATGACTAACTTTACTCCTCATTCTTCAGGAGTAGAGGTCATACAGATCAGTGACAATGAACAGTGGTGTCTGCTTTACCAGGCAGATATAAATAGTGCCCAAACATTTCCAGTTTCTTTTTTTACTCAAAAGTAAAAAGCTACAGCAAGGACATCTTTTCTAAATCAGACAACAGGAATCCGATTTTTTTTTTTTGCGTAAATTCTGCTGCTTCACCAGAACAGAGACTGATGTTAGATAACCAGATGAGATCATAAAAACCAGAGGGCCAATGTCTATCTCAGATGGCTGTGGCGTCTTTAAGTGGGGAGAAATGGAGTGAGGTCAAAATGATTTTCCTCGTAAATGGGACATAATGTAATCAACACAGGATTACAGCTGTGAGCCACTCCTCCTTTGTTGAGGTCGAACACAAGACACTGATTCGCCTTCCATTTATAAAAGATGCATTATGTTCAGCATGTTTAAGACTCATCCAATATCAGCTAAAAGTTGCTTTGATAATGGAGTCCAAGCTTGTAAGTATATTAACAATGCATTGCTTGGTTTCACTCGAGTGAGTCCACCACGTGTATAATGGCTTGCATTGAGTCTGTATTGCTTTCCAGTTCGCCTAAAAGGGAGTATTAGATCCAAATGTGATTCTGTTAAGCCTGAGAAACAGAGATCCAGCCACTGTATGTCTGTATTTCATCAAGTTAAATACACAAGATATTGATTTTTGGGAGTAGAAAAGAGGGACGCTAACAATTAGATTGTGTTGCAGAAACAGCATCTCCTTCGATGTGAGGGAGTGGGCTGAAGTAGAGCAGAGCTTCTCCAGTTATCAATAGAGAACAAAGGAGAGGTATAGATTCTCCATGATTCCCCTTTTGTGTATTTGATCCCCTCTGACTGCTCAGAATCCAGTCCAGGTTTGCTGAGCCTCGTACTCGGCCCAGGCTGCTGAACACAGCTCTCCTGTGAAGATTGTCTTGATGCAAATGAGTTAGGAGAGCTCAAAGCCTGTGTTCATACTGATAGCGTAGCGCAGTTTGTCGCGCAAGATGCTCTTCTTGCTGTAGTTGGGCAACTTGAGCAGGTTGAAGCATGTTGATGAAGTGGGAAGTCGACCACCAGGCTCCTTCTTGCGGATTGTAAAAAAGCCCCTAAGAACACTTCCAAGTGTGTCTCCGGTGTCCTAGACACATGAAATGCTCTGTTAGTACAAATGTCCCACATGAATGCGTAACACATTTCAAGCTCCATCTATTTTCTTCTTTTTGACGCCTACCTGATCGTCTGAAACTTCCACACAGCGGATGGAGAAAGGTGGTTTGAGGTAGGCAAAACCTAGAAGTGGTGGCCTGGAGCAGCTGGTAACAAACTGTAAAAACATACACCAAAATCAATGATACAATCTTAAACCACTGGTAAAAATAACACAGCTTTTGATTGTGACAGTTACAAACAATTTACTTTAAGGAACATAGCCCTCTCTTCAGAGGTGAAGTCACTGGACAGGATGTCCCACAGCCAGATGATGACCCGGTGGCTGCTGTGAAAACCTCCATAGTAGACGGTGTGTTTCCTGAGAAAGAGAGGTGAAGACAATCAGGATTACCATCTATGTCTACAGAAGCATAGATGAAGGAAACACTTTACTGTACAGCCAACAAAGTGTTTGATTTAGGAGACTTCTGAATTAAGGGGAGATTCCTTCTAGATTTGCGACACATTTACTGAGAAAATATAAATAAAATGTCATTTACATTGAGTATACGGTTGAAGAAGTAATGAACGAAGAATCATTTAAAAGTCTGAAATGCCCCTTACTTGAGGTCATCAAGATCAATCTCAGCATTGTCTCCAGCGACAAGACGCTGAACCTCAGGCGTGGAAAACATGTGCAGCCACTCTGGGTTAATGATGCTGCGGAAACCCCGAATGAAAGCTGCCGTTTGCTCCTTAATCTGCGTGTGCATCCTGAAGTGAGCCATGAGGTGAATGTAGCTGATCCTGCAGGAAGTGGTAGAGCTTAGATCAGAGGTAGTAGACACTGATTTGTAATGACTTCTCAACAATCAGAAAGATTCAAAACCGGTTGGTACCCCACTCATTTTTTCAATTGTGTTTTTGGGTTATGTATTGACATACTTGTTTTCATTGGACACTGTCATGGTTTTCCCCCCGGGTATCAATTCATGACAGACAAGCTGTAAGGGAATATAAAATGAGCTTTTAACTGATTCATTTCTTTATTAAAATCCACATAAATCCACATATTATGTTCTTACCTGGCCCATTACATCCTCATCATAAGATAACGTCAGTCCAAGATCGCATATATCTCCATCGTAGCGCTGAAAAACAAATAAAATAAAAGTTATGAGATGAAAAGGGGATACATTAGTAAAAAACGAAATGTCCAAGTGTAATTCTAGCCGACCTTGATGGAAGTGAGGTTTTTGTAAAACTCAGAGTCCAGGGAGGGAAGCTCGTCGATGGAGCTGTAGAAAGTGGTGTGGTGGTGACCCATGACCTGACTGAGGAAGAAGGAGGCAAAGGGGACGTCCACGACGAGACCCTGAGGATACAGAAGTCACAGTTACACATTCACCCAAGATGGAGAGATGACCAAATGAGGATGTTTTTCAGAACGCACAAATATACCTCATATACGGCTTTCCCGAGCATCTTCCCCACAAACTCAAACAGCTGCAAATGGTTCTCATGGATGTAGGATGTGGGTGAAGGATACAGCCTTTCGTTTCCACTCGTAGTCTATGGAAAAGAATATTGATGTCATACAAAACAATGAAAATCAATGTCAGCAGCAGGAGAGTGATGATCAAAAGGGCTTTCTATTTGCCTGACTTACTTTAAACAGGTTGAGGGCAGGATTGAACACTTTTTTAATGATCTCCTCGAGAAACTCTTTGAACACACCATCCTGATCGATACCAGCCTCGTCTACTCCCAGATCGTTGACAAACTTCACACGAATGACGCCTTTTATGGAATTTGGTGGCAATCTGCGGAGCTGGTCATATCCATCCTTAGGACAGGGAAATACTGAGTGTTATTCTGGAGCCCACTTTCTTGCTCTCTATCAAAAAATAAATCTGTTGACTCCATACCTCTAACATCCGTGAGCGACGAATGGTAATATGGGTGACATGTGGTGAAGCAGAGTTTGTTTCTACCAATCCTAAACTCTCCTTTTCCTTGGTGACGATGTTCCTGAACAGCAGCACTCTCTAAAATCAAGAGGGGAAGTTATTAAACAACTGAACATGATAGTGACACTCTTCAAAGAAAGGATCCCTCTTTTACTCACGTTTTTATGTGGAATGACATGTGGGATGTACTGCAGTAAAAGCTGGGCTCTTCTCTTGCCTTTCTCGAGCTCTTGAAACAAGAGGCTAGGCTTCAGGTCCCTGAATGCAACACAGCAGAAAGATTTAAAGGTGAGTTTCTAGATTTAATCACAAAGCACAAGGTTCAAGGTTCTTTATTGTCAAACTAACATAGCTACAGAGTAATTATGTCGTCACAGGCTTCTCCAACAATGCAACAAATAGGAGGCCGGACATTAACATCTATTGAATGTGTACTTACTTGCGTAGCCAGTGGTCATCAGGGGTGAATCGTCGCCTGCAGTCCCGCTCATAGAGAACCATTAACCAGCCATGAACACTGTGGAACAGCTCCAGTTTCTCTCCCTTAGCATTTTCTGTTCAAAACAAAACGTTTTTTTTTAGAGATTATCTTTTCAATCAAGCACTATAATATATTTTTAAAAATCTGTAAGATTGCACACTCACCTAAGATGCCATCCCATACCATCTTGTACACAAATGTGTTCAGAAATGAAGAGATGGTGAGGAG